CCCCTCGTTCCTTCTCGGACTGCATCTGTACCTCATCATCTGCTCCGAGGCTCGTACCGTGAGCTGAACGCGCCATTGCGTCCTGGAAGTTTTGCACCGTGCGGTTCATCTACGAGTAATACTGTCAGTGTTGATCGGAGCACTACTGTACGGCCATCTTGTACGTCGACGTGTTCACCAGGCTCTGACTTACCGTTGTCGTTGAGTGTGTTCTCTGTCTCTGGTTCAATTCACTGTCACGGCGATTCTCTTCACAGAGCTTCTTTCACTCGAATGTGCAATATCGTATTCTTGGTGTAAAGTTGGTACACGAGAGTGACAGTGTTGGAGTGCGCTAATAGTTTGACTGGCACGGCCGGCACTGCACTGGCATGCGATCCTTCAAATCCCCTTGAGACTCACTGTCAGTCGCCCGCCCGGCCGCCGCCCGGGGCTCGACTCCGGGCCGGTGAATCCCGGCGGCCGGGCACTGCACACAGACAGCGGCATGGGCCCGGCACTGGTTACCGTACCGTACTATGGTAACTGGTGACTACTGTTCAGGCGGACCCCGGGCCCGGCCCCGGGAGGTATTCGGAGGGCCCGGGCCGGGCCGGGCGGCCGGGCGGCAGGAGCCGGGCCGGGCCGGGCGCCGGTACTGGAAACTTCACCGTTCAGGCGGAGCCGGGCCCGATACGGGCTAGCCGGTACTGTGACTCTTTACTCAAAGTACCGTAGTACGGTGACTCACTTGAATAACTAATTAAGTAAGAGCGTTTCGCGGATATCCTGAAATCAGAGGGCAGGATTTCAAAGTTCGCGGATGATGTCTAAAAACTTTGAGTAAAGACCAGTCTAACGGACAAAAGTAACTGACCGTAGTGCGATGATTGTCTACCCCTACCGTCGGTCCGACCTAAGTCAGAGTCTGATACCGGTACTTTATCCATAATAACAGTGGAGTAGAGACGGTAGGGTACCCTACCTGTACCCGTGTAATCCCCTCGGGTACCCCTACCCGTTGTACTGATGAGATCAGACGGGGTACTCAATCCTTCATTTCCCAAAAACAGGTTGACTTCTGATCAGGGGTGGGGTAGTAGGCTGAGGAAAGTACGGGTGGTGTGCCCTCCCTTCCTAAAATGCTTCTCAGACTGGAGGTAGGGTGGGTGTACGTATGCTTTCAGTACAGGGGGTGGTCTCGTGAGATGGTACACCCCCACCCCCTCTTGGTTAAGAAGAAGGGTGGGTATCCATGTAGACTTTTTAGAAGGGTGGGTGGGGTACCTCAAACCCGCTGATTCTCAAGTGGTGGGATGTGAGGATGTTAACTCTGTAGAGAGGTAGGGTAGGCTGGTACTGCCCACCCCTATTAAATTCAGGAAACCATGGTATTCTATAGGGTAGGGTAGGGTCATATCACAGGAAGGGGTGGTCGTGAATGTGCTTATAACAATGGAAGCGATTGAAGAGCGGGAGGAGAGAGGGAGAGAGGATGGAAGGAGCTTGAGGGAGGGTGAGGACAAGCTTGTCATGTCGCTAGAGTGTGAGAGATGTCTTGTAGCTGCTGCAGAGAGAAAGAGACGTGACAACAGACAGAAGAAAGGAGAAGAGAGGAGGGAAAAGAAACGGCTGATGGAAGGTTTTTTGGCATTCTTGTTTGCAAGTAGAGGGAAGCTAGAAACGTTTTGCGCTTTTCCTTTTCTCATACTGCCATTCTCCCCTCTTTCTCTTCCAACAAAAGGAAGTGAAGAGAAGAGATAATTAAGAATGCCACGAGGGAAGAACTTGTGCTGTGTGTAGATGACAAGCCTTAGGTTTATGTGTAAGACAACAAGATCGTATCACCCCTCTAAGCAACTCTCGATGACATGACGCTTGTGACAGGCGTTGAGATCTGTTGGGCCTTGTCCCCTCCTGCTAGACTGGTACGGCATGGGGAAGGATGTACAGACAGAGATTCTAGAGCTGGAGCGTGAGCTCTTGACCTTGAGAGTCAAGAATGAAGTGCTGCTCGCCCACTCCTCCGCTCTCGCTCAAATCAGAAATCCCACGGCTCATCCACCAGCTAGTGCCCAGCAGACGACCAGCTGGACTATCCCCGACGACATCAGCTCTGACCTCAAGAAGCTCTTCAGACCCCTCGAGACTCAAAGGATTACAAACGATCTCAACAACCTCCGCATGGCTCTCGGCGTCGACGCGTCGGCGCTCAGCCCTGACAAGCTCTCGTACGATGACTACGAGGTCAGAGTCGCAAGAGAGTGGGAGCTCGAGCGCAAGGCCAGCAGCCTCGGCGACCTCAACATCCTTCGAGTCATGGCGGAGTGCATCCCCGGCGGGAGCGCGGCGAGTCCTCTTGCGGGGCTACAGGGGATGACGGAGAGCGCTCTATCGGCTCTATGGCAGACGGCGATAGGGAGGAGGCTCGAGGAGGCGCTGAGGAGGCCGGCAGAGGCAGGAGGGCGGGCGGGAGGAGACGGTCCGACGTCGCACAACAGCAAGTTTGCGGTGAATGAGTCGGACGGTACAGGCAGCAGGGAGGTACGCGAGGCCGTGTACGGGAAGATCGAGGAGTACTACGGGGGGCTGATGGAGCGGATCGGGCTACCTCAGACGGAGCTGATGAAGGCGATAGAGGAGGAGCACTGCAAGGGCAAGGACGCGGAGGAAGCGTTCACGACGAGCAACTACGGGATCAGGACGACAGCCAAGGAGGAGTGGCTCAACGTCACAGACCCGGAGAGGAGGCGGAGGCTGTCGGACGGGACGCGGGTGATCCGAGGGATGGAGGAGCTGAAGGAGCGGGAGAAGGAGATCAAGGCGGGGCTACAGGAGGCGGAGCTGATCGCGCTGCAGCTCTACACAGGTAAGAGAGAGAGATAGCGAGAGAGGGAGAAGGAGCGTTGGGGGAGGAGAGAGGAGCAAGAGAGCGTGAGATGGCTGACAAGAGGCTTGCTATGACAGGGCCGATGTACTTCAAGTACAACTCTGTTCTTCGAGCTCCCAACGAGCTCCTCCGAGACTCCAACAAGGTCCCCAACAAGTACACGACGACCATCCACTGCATCGTCAGCGGCATCGTGAAGCTGTCTCGTCACACGCCTCTGCCGGAGGGGCTGCGGGTGTGGAGGGGGCTGAAGGGGATGAGGCTGCCGGAGAGCTTCCTCAACGAGGACAAGCTCGGGGTGTCCGGAGGAGTCGAGTACAGGCTGCTGAGCACGACGACAGACGTCAGGACGGCGATGCAGTACGCCGGGGAGGAGGGAGAGTCGATCGTGTTCGAGATCAGCTGCGGGGCGATCGACCGGGGGGCGAGCTTGACGTTTGTGTCTCAGTATCCGGGGGAGGGGGAGATGCTGTATCCGCCGCTGTCGTACCTGGAGGTGGTGAAGACGCCGCGGTACAGGGAGGTAGAGGGGAGGCGGGTGAAGGTGCTGGAGCTGAAGATCAACGCGAACACGATGAGCTTGACGATCGAGGACTTTGTGGGGAAGAGGAAGCAGCTGTACGTAGGGCTGATGGAGAACCTGGCGAGGGAGGTAGAGCGAGACGTGAGGGGGTGGGAGGGGAGGATCCAGGAGCGGCTCAGGACAGTTACTTTCGACTCTGTTTTCAAGAGCCACCAGGGTCTTGTGCAATCGATCGTGGAGGAGTGCTGGAGGCTGGTGGAGGCGAGCAGGGCGAGGGAGTCGGGCTGGTACAACGACGAGTCAAGATACAAGGAGGCGATCGAGCTGTCGAACCGAGTCAAGGACATGGCGATCAACAAGCTCAGGCACTGGATCGAAGACACTCAGGGAGACGAGAAATGTTTAGCCCTTGCACGCGAGCCGATGCAGTCAGTGTACTGGAGGACGATGGCGGGTCTGATGTACAAGATCAGCTCGCGGACTCCAGCAGGCGATGACGGCAGACGAGAGCAGAGCAAGAGGCTGTGCGGGATG